GTCCCTAGAGACCGGAGGGAGGTCCATCTAGATTTTTCCTCCAATGGACCACTACCAGCCCACTTCAGTGGGTTATTAGCACCAGGGATGGTGGGATGTGCTGCTTAGAAACAGAGAGTGGCAGTTTCCCACAGGTATCTCTTGAGAACGTGGGGACTTTCCGATTGTGATTCTTTTTCACTGGGGGCAGGGAAAGCGGGAAGTCAACAAAGGAATAGGTTGATGTCTCATACACCTGAGGATGGGAAGGGACAATTGTCCCCACCATTTAACAATGAAGTACCTGTATAGGCATGCATGCATGTCCCTGATAATTTACACATTTGAAAACTAATTGCAGAATAGAATCCCCAGCACATTCCAGGGTAAGGATTAAGTATTTAACAAAGAGGCAAAATTTGGCAAGGGAAAAGAGAATTTCCAAATATTTGTTCATTAGCCTATTAAAAAGTCCAGGAGTCTGGGCTGAGCCCACAAACACGCAGGCCTTGTCTACATAGGTCAAGCAGTGGGAAAAATGACCAGCTGTAATTTGATCCGTGGGCCATTCAAACCCTGCTTTCTGTCCTGTTTCAACCCCCTTTCATATCTGCAAGATGTGTGTACAACGTACATATAAACCTTCCACTTCACTTTGACCATATAGACATAGGCCTTGGTTACTTACGAGAGTAGGCAAAAAGTACTGCTACTAGAGTACCGGTTTATACGCGCACTGTTTCATTTCAAACAAAACATGTGGACACGTGTCTCTGAGATCAGTGAGTGGCTGTACAAAAGGTCTCCCAGTAATATACTTGTCTTCATCTCACTAGGATGCCTTAAACAACAAGAAAAAGCCCAAGCCAAACAGTGGCTTCTGAGGGGATCGATTGGAGCCGTTCAATTCAAGGGTAGAGAGATCAGCTCAGAAGGTTATGAGGATTGTGTTTTGGACACTCCAAAGGGGTTATCTTGATAGACTTGCTTAACAAGATGATTGTGGGGGCTGATCATGAAATACTTTCAAGAAAACTGAAGATTGCATTGGTGAGAAGAAGGCCAGGAAAGTTGTACTGAGAAATGTCCCTGCATTGTGATAACCTACCTGCTCCTTCTTTGAGAAGAGCAAGAGGTTTTTTTTTAAATCATTTTATTACAATCCATACACACATCAATTGTGTGAAGCGCATTTGTACATTCATTGCCCTCATCATTCTCAAAACATTTCCTCTCTACTTAAGCCCCCCGCATTAGGTCCCCCATTTTTCCCCTCCCTCCCCGCTCCCCCCTCCCTCATGAGCCCTTGATAATTTATAAATTGTTATTTTGTCATATCTTGCCCCTTCCGACGTCTCCCTTCACCCACTTTTCGGTTGTCCGTCCCCCAGGGAGGAGGTCACATATAGTTCTTTGTAATTGGTTCCCTCTTTCCTACCCATTCTCCCTCTACCCTCCCTGTTTCGCCACTCACACCACTGGCCCTGTAGGGCTCATCCGCCCTGGATTCCATGTATTTTCAGTGCCTATCTGTACCAGTGTACATCCTCTGGTCTAGCCAGACCTGCAAGGTAGAATTTGTGTCATGATAGTGGGAGCAGGGAGGAAACATTTAGGAACTAGAGGAAAGTTGTATTTTTCATAGTGGTTACATTGCACCCTGACTGGCTCATCCCTCCCCGAGACCCCTTTGCAAGGGGATCTCCAGTGGCCTACTAATGGGCTTTGGGTCTCCACTCCGCACTCCCCCCATCATTCACTATGGTAAGATTTTTTGTTCTGATGATGCCTTATACCTGATCCCTTCGACACCTCGTGATTGCATAGGCTGGTGTGCTTCTTCCATGTGGGCTTTGTTGCTTCTGAGCTAGATGGCCGCTTGATTACCTTCAAGCCTTTAAGACCCTAGACGCTATACTTTTTGATAGCCGGGTACCATCAACTTTCTTCGCCACATTTGCTTATGCATCCATTTGTCTTTTTATACAAACGTAGTTGGCAAGTCTTCACTCCATCCACCTCACAGCCCTGATCTTCCTCCTTCAGACTGTTTCTGTTTCCCAAACCCAAAACAATGGGAGAAGAATATAATCTGACTTTTCCAAAGATGCCCAAACAGCAATGTTGACGTGGTATGGATGGAAGAGCTCAGAATTCCTAGAGGAAGGGTCAGAGAGATGGAAAACCACCTTCAGAAGCAGAATAGGGCTAAAGGGAGGATGTCGAGAAACAATAGCCGCATGTTTTGAGAATTCTGTTTAATAAACGTTTCTATGATCTTGTAGTAGTGACTTTTGACTCACCCTGAAATACAGATATAAAATTCATGCGGTTGTCCCAAGGGAATGGGGTGGATGGATGGGATACACTAATCCAGTTTCCTCTACCAAGCAGCCCCGAGCAGCAAAGGGAAATCATGTCAATGAATATCAAGTGACTTAACTTGGATACATTAAATCTAAAACTATGGCCTTCCTTTCAGAATCTGAAGTGGTTAATAATTGTCTAGGACTCACTACAGATTGGGGTTTGTTGGCTTTATACTAAGATGGTACCCCGAATTCCAAATTCAAATATCTCTTTCTTTACTAATGGCCAGCCTTGGATTCTTAGAACACCCGCCACTTGCACGTGGGGACCCCATGAGTCAGAACCAACCCAATGGCCATGGTTTGTTCCATCTTTCCTTACTTTGTGGCGCCAGTGAAGGTATTGGTGAACAGGATTGTCTATTCAGAACTAACCTTGAGAGTAAGCCTGAGGGTCAGAACAGAGTATTGGGGGTGGGTGGTTAAAAGACGGACAAGGCTCCTGCTTTCAGCATGGGTGCACTCTTGTTTTATAGGCAGCTGCTGCCCTCTTGCCAAACATTAGGATGGAAGGGAAATTCAAATGGTGGACTGGCTGTTAAGTCAAAGGTAAACATTTGCATGTAAGTAAAGAAGTATCCCGGTAGCTGAGTGTAATTTTTTACTTCTCAGAAATGGCGATCAGTAGGCCTAACCATGTTGGCTGTACAATACCAGTAAAGGGTGCTTCCCAAATTAGCTCGCTTATTTGATTCCCTCTGCAGTGAATTCCAAAATATGCCTTTCTTTTCTCTATGACTACATCCAGTATCTAGATAACTGTTGAATGTCTATATTGCTTGTTACTGTACAAAACCTGAGGTAGGTAGGATAAAAAGACATTTGCAGGGGCTCCTGTACTCTGATCATGGTCTTTCCTGATGTGCTTCCCTTAGCTTTGAGGTCATTGAGATAGTTTATTGTGCCAGCCTGGCCGATAAACACAAGTAGGATTAACTGAAGGGCGGAGAGATAATGGCTCGGTGAACCTTGCCTTTCTTGTCTCTTGCTTTGATCATTGGACCAGTGTGCGGCTGCCTTGCTTGTTCTGTGCCTCAATTTATAGGTTACACTACCTGTGGGATGCCTAGCCTGCGGACAGTGTCGCTGTAAGTTGAGGTCCCTTTAAGACATCTCTGGAGCTGGGGACTGGCAGTTGGGATTGGTGGTTAGTTGAGTTGGTGATCTGCCTTGTGATTGGCTGCTGTGCTGAGATAGCCTTGCTCTCTCTATAAATAGATCTGGCATACCCATTTGTGAACTATCAAGGGCTCATGTGGGAGGGGGGAGCGGGGAGGGAGGGGAAAAATGAGGACCTAATGTCGGGGGTTTGAATGTAGAGAAAATGTTTTGAGAAATGATGTACAAATACGCTTTACACAATTGATGTGTGTATGGATTGGGATAACAGTTGTATGAGCCCCTAATAAAATGATTAAAAAAAAAAAAAAAAAAAAAAAAGATCTGGCAGCAGACTAGACTGGAAGGACTGCTAGTCTCTTACAACTCTCTCTCACGGGAGTGAGTTGCACTGAGCCATTTGTAGTGCTTTATAATTTAACTGTTCATTTCTTGTATTATATATTTATCTGTATATGATTTAACAGTTCATATCTTGTTATATATCTAATCATCTTTATAAATAAATAAATTTAATTATCAGCAATTTGGTTTTCTCTCTCTAGAGAACCCTAACACATGGAAAGAAAAAGAGGCAAAAAATGTGAATGGAGAAGGACGATATTATGGGAGTTTAAACCCACTGGATTGAAGAAACCCGCTGGATTGGAGAAGGCGATACACCTTAAAACACCACTGGAGCTATTGCGCGGGTTACTAAATGTCACTACTTAAGGTGATTTCTTGGTTAGCTGCACTGGGGCTAAGCAACCATGCTAAACTGCAGAAACTAGTTTAGTTTTACTTTGAAGTATGTCATGTGACTGACCCCCTATAGCAAATAGGGGGGAGAGGTTGAAAAGTGGGTCAGACTCCAACACACACACACACACACACACACACACACACACAGAGTTTCATGTCTCTGGGATAGGTGTCTGGGGGCAGGCAAGTCGTCCCAGTACTTCCCTTGTCATGGTCTTATTGGGATGCCTTCCCCAGAAGAGGTCATCGAAACAGTGCATTCTGAAAGGCTCTTGTTGGGTCCCTTCCACTCAAGGCACAGAGGTCAACTTGGACTATGGTGGATTGTCTTTTGGGATCCCAACGGGACAACAGAGATTTTCTCAAAGGAAACAGAATAATCACTGGGACTTATTAGGAAGTGGTGATAAGAAAACTTAATATGGCACTGGGGAGAAGAAGTCAGCACAGGTGTTCCAAGGAATGTCGCCCCCATCATGGCAATGTCACCTGCACTTTCATTGCAGGGTAGCACGAGGTGTCCCACAAGAATTTCATTGAAACACTTTACCTCATCCACCCTACCGCCCCAACCTTGCCCCTTCAGAAGGTTTTTTGCCCTCCAGACTCAAAAGAACATTGGAAAGGAACATGATTTGAGCACCTCAAAGATGCCCAGCCTGCCATTTTTGACATGGTATGAATTGTAGAACACAACATTCTTTTGGGGGGAATGTCAGAGAGATGGAAGCACTCCCTTCAGAAGTATGGAGACTTAGATGGAAGATTTGTTGAGAAATAATAGCTTCATAGTTTTGATATTTTTATTTAATAAAGGTTTCAATGGCTGGGTAACAATACTTTTTGACTTACCCTCATATATGAGGCTACTTGTTCAGATGCTACGCAGGATGTTAGTTCATATTGCCTGAATCTATACCTATGGTAGCAGAGGTAAGTGCCTGAGGCATGAGTTGAAAGATTGGGAGAGGGTATCAGATTTAAATGTTATCACACACAAGTCACATGTGGATAAACAAGAGGCCATAGAGAAAAGTCAAAGGCTGTTTTTGCAAGTGTTTCTTCAAGGACTATGAATATAATGCAGTCCCACCCTCCAGAAGCCAAATCAAAGAGCTTTTCTTCACTCTGACAGCTATTATTTGGCCCCAGCGCTTATTCACACTGGCAGGTGTTTGTCTGGCCCATTTAACGGACTCGAGTGCTTCTGTCCTGCATTAAAATGCCCTTGCAAAGGGCAGTGTGGATCCCGCAGGAAACTGGGCATATGCTTTGCCGGCTAGTCTATTCTTTTCCAAACACATTTTGTGGAATTGGGTCACAAGGGCGGCCGTTTCCCCATTTCTCCCGCAAACTCCTGGCCTCTGTCTTTTCTCTCATAGCCTGGTTCTCTGGCTTAGGCAAGGTCAGGTGACCGATAGCTCCAGGCACATAGAAAGCGTGCCTATCAAATGCTATGGGCCAGCGAATGGTTGCCGTGAGGATGGCACCCCCTGGGCAAGGATGGATGGTTTCCATGTGAACGACTGCTGATGAGTAATGCTTCCGAGCCAGTACTGGCCAGCCTTCATTAGTTTTCCAGGCACTTGTCGGAACTTCTTGGGGTAAAAACCATTTCCAGCAAGCCATCAGCTTCGTCTGGGTGCAGGGACAAGTCGTTTTTCTTCTGCATGTTTTCCACACACTTTTCCTGCAGCGACTTCACGTGGAATCGCTTCAGCAGTGTAACCAGGATGCTTTTCATCATCACCATGGCGATGAATTTTCCAGCGCAGGCGCGGGGCCCAAAACCAAACGGTTGGAAGTACCTGTACGGAACCTAGGGAAATGATCAGACCATTAGCCTGGGTATTGATGGGACTGGTGTCTCATTAGTCACACCACCTCCGACTCACCTTGAACATGCAGAGTTCAGTGTCTCTGCCCCACTGCTCCTACCAGGAGGAAGGACTGCCGCTCAAATAAGCCCTTTCCTCGTCACCAGTTTGAGCCACCCAGTGCCATGCAGACTCTACCTCAGACAGTCCCTGGCTTGGCTTTCCTTGCGAGTGTGCTGGGCCAACAACAAAGCCCCCCACTTTCTGACAGCCAGGGCGAGTACACTCGTTGGCATTGTAGGATGACCACGACTCTAGACTCTTTTGCAAAGACAGAGACGCTGTTTGCCTGATAACATACAACCTGATAAAAACAGGGCAAATTTGGGCAGCAATGTGAATCCTTGGCTTTTTAGAGCCAGGCATCTTAAGTCATTTTAATTATGCAGAACATTCGCTTTATAAAGCCCTTGTGGGTAGAGATCACATCTGTCTTGCCTATGGCTGGACTTCCAGAGTGCTCAGCGCTTAATAGGTGCTTAATACGTTCTTGTTGACCAATTGACTGGCCATACATGCCGATGCCTATATGGCATGTGTAGCTCCAAAAATGAGTCAGACGACTGGCTTAACTAATGGTCATATTTCTATACCATAGGCAATGGAAAAAGCAGGCACTGAGGGAATGAGTTGAAAAAAATCATATTAAAATTGGATAAAAACAGTGGAAAACTGTCCAGTGTCCATCGATTATAGGAAAAAGATCTCTTTTAATTATTTACAGTGAAGAAGCCCTGATGGCACAGGGAGTTTTGTTCTGGGCTGCCAACGGTAAGGTCAGTGGTTCAAACCTGCCAGCTGCTTCCAGGGAGAAAGCTGAGACTGTCTGACCCCGTAAAGATTTTCAGCCGGGGAAACCCTATGGAGTGATCCTAGTTTGCCCAGGGTCCCCTGTGAGTCAAAATCAACTCAACCGGCCATGGGTTTGGATTTTAGTAGTTAGAATGGGGACAAAGACGGGCTGCAAAACCTAAAATCTTCTGGTACGTTGATGGAATCTACACAGTGGCAAAGTGGTATGCTTCAATTAAAAAAAAGGGGGTAGTTAGGTTAAAAAACATAGTGGAGAAGTGAGTGAGGGAGACGTTGGATGGGGTAAGATATGACAAAATAATAATTTATAAATTATCAAGGGTTCAGGGGGAGTGGGGAGCGGGGAAGGAGGGGGGAAAATGAGGAGCTGACACCAAGTGCTCAAGTGGAAAGCGGGTGTTGTGAGAATGATGAAGTGAACATATGTACTAATGTGCTGGACACAAATGACGTATGTACGGATTGTGATGAGTTGTATGAGCCCCTAATTAAAATGATTATTTAAAAAAAATAGCCTCACTTGAGCCAAACTATTCCCCACCCCCCTCTTTACCCTCCTCCACCCCCCACACAAATTTTGGCACTTCCTAGAGCTGGAGACCCCGCACTCTGAGCCTGAGCTTCAGGAAGAACATGACGTCTGCTTCACAAGCTAGGGGAACTGTGCGCTCCTGGTGGGGTGAGCGGAGGGGCAAGAGGGACAGCCTTGACAGGTACAGGTGCTTTAAATACACAGGCCCAGACTGGAGACTTTTCAGGAGGGGCGGATTCCATTTTAAAGGATGTGCTCTTACGTTTTTCTCAAAATTTTCAAGAGTAAATTCATTGGGCTTGGGGAAGAACTCCAGCCTATGCATTCTTCCCAGATTCAGGATAATATTCGTCCCCTTTTTCACTGGGTAGCCATCAATGACGTCATCTTGCAGAGCTTTGCGCATGACCAAGTCCACGACGGGCTGGTACCGCATGCTCTCATAAATGAAGTTCTCCACCACTTTCAATTTCGGCACATCGTCGATGCTGATGTCTCTTTCTCCTGAGGGAACAGATCCAAAGAACAAAAGGGGTGAATTTAGTTATCGATATGTGTGATGGGCATTAAAGCTCTTTTGAGTTTCCACAGAATTGGTTACTGTTGGTTGAGAAGCACAAACAAAATACAGCTGTAATTTGAATGCATAGCCCTTGAATTACAGGTTGCAAACCAGGAACCTGGCCCAAATAATGTCATGCTTTGTGTACAGTATTTATAAAAAATAAAATTAGAAGTCAAGCATCTTAAAACCTGGAGGATGTCATGACAAAGTATGGATTTCTAGAAAAATCTGGAAACTGGGCAACACTGGGCCCCCATTCTTCTTCATATTCGTATTCAGCTTCTCTGATGATTGGCTCAGCCTACAGTATGGTGAGAGGACTGGACCCTGAGGCCCACCTTTCCTGAGTATAAAACAAAATAGATAGCATTTACTTTTAATCCTTTCATTGGGAGCTCTTACAGATCTTCCAACAATCCATACATCAATTGCATCAAGCACATATATACATATGTTGCCATCATCAATTTCAAAATATTTTCATTCTGTTTAAGCCCTTGCTATCCTCTTTTGTCCCCCTCCTTCCCCCAAATAGACACTATTTTGCAGTTCCCTGTAGAATCGCCCCACAGCTGGCTTCAGAGTTAATCTGCCTGGTCTCTGAGGTATTTGAGTTTTGCCCCCTTCTCTAGATGTTAGGGGGCATTAATTCCTTCTCTTGACTTGTAACCAAAGTAGCACCACCCCAGGGATGGAGGCCTGTGCTGGGTTTACATAACCCAAATCAGGCTTAATGCATCTCAATGAAACATGTCTTTCCTGATTAGCAGGGCAGTTGTATCTCCATATACCAAGAGTTACCAGGAGTTTCTCATTGTCTCATTGAGAACAACCTGCTGAGGTAAAATGCCAAGCATCCTCCTCTCCCTACCACAACAAAATAGATAAGTGCCTCAGATTAGCACTGGGTACAGCTTTGGAGTGATAGACGGACACGCCCACAGTCTTGGTTTGGTCGGATGCTGGTCAAGGAGCCTTGCATGATTCCCAGACTTGACAAAATGACAGAAGAGCCTCAGACGGACTTGCGTTTGGGAGCATCAGAAATGGCTCAGGGTCCTGAGGCTTCACGCTCCCGGGTGTTTCCTCACCGGGGAAGTTTTGTCCATTTGCTTCTAACAAACTTTTTACCATATCCCTGTGCTCCTCCTGAGTCCAAGAAAATCTACGAAGACAGCCACGTTAGAGTCCCACGCAAAACATACCCTTCTGAACTGACCTCTGTCTGGGCTTTAACTGTCTCAACAGCTCTCATCGGAAACCACTGTCTTGATGGGAGCCCCTTCTTTTTCAAGGCACTTCATGAAGCGAAGGCAAATGTATTCCCCTTCTGCAATCATCCGCTTATGGCAGAGATATGTTTAAACACATTTTATTTGGAATGAACTCACACACAGGTGAACTGGAACCCTAAAAGCGATGCCTTTTGACTTACCATCATAAATGACAGGCATTTTCCTGGGCGGACCTGCAAAAGCCTCTTCTAAGTGATACAGCAGGAAGACTAGTGTGTATGATCCCA